CAAATCGACTTTTGTTTTATGTGTTAACTTGTGCTTTTGAGAGTGAGGTGTGGATTTTTAATACCTTAATATTCCAAAGCATAAAAAGCTAATTACTTTTAAATCGACTTTTGTTTTATGTGTTAACTTGTGCTTTTGAGAGTGAGGTGTGAAGTTTTAAAAATTAATTTACAAGAGAGTATATATATAACCATGCATATATATAAAGGATTTTCTTTTGGTGCAACTTTATAACATATATGCATGGTTTTATGTAAATATGCATTATTGAAGTTTCAAAAAGTTGTATGAATCTCTAAATGGAGAATTGTTTATTCGCTTTAGGAAGCATGAGTATTAAGTAATATTGCATGTTCGAATTATTTATTCACTATTAGCATGGCATATTGCCTCTTTCTTTCCAGAACTTTATTTATATCCATTACCATTTCTTTTGTTCCAAAAGAGACTTGCTAAAGAAAAACCCCACGGGGTTAGCCTGGCGATCAGGGAGGTTTGCTTAATTCTTTGAGTTTCCGGGTTTAAACCTTAGGACCACTTACTACAATAATATTGTGGTTACCTGGTCCTATGAGATTATAGAGTATTCAATGGATCTCGGGAATTAGTTGAGATGCTCACAAATTAGCCCGAACACCTTGGTTACCCAAAAAAAAAAAAAAAAAAAAGTTGGGTAAGTGTGAGTTTATAATTAATCAATAATGAAGTTGTGGGTAGGTCATGAATGTCATATCTTTGTGTGATTCCCCTGCTAAGTATCACCACATTACCAATAATTATCTCATTCTTAGTTAATATTTAAAGTTCACCATCCCTCCCTTATGTTATAAGGTTTCTGCAAGAACAAGAGTCACTACCTTCGAATGTAGAATCTTTTATGTAAATCTTTCAAGGAATACGCATGTGAATATTTAATTATAGATATGCAATTCCATTTGTGATAAGTTGTGTACTTCTAGTGAGTTATCCATATAAGTTTTGCCTATCCATAATATATATGATGATTAATTTTATATAAATATCATCACAAAGCAAAAGCTCTAGTTAACCTACATTATTATGGCTAAAATTGTGTATCTCTTTGTGTGTATGAAAGTATAAAAAGTAACATTGAAAATATCCATGGATTTTGTTTACAAAGTCAATATGCCATTTACTATAAGAAATCATATATATATATATATATAATTTTTTTATTTTAGGGTTAGAATCAGGAGTCCAATTTATCTTACACAAGTTCTGACACAATTTTTGAACCATTTGATTAAAACATTTGAATGGCTGAGACTAAATTTGAATTATGATTTTTAAAATGCATTAAGTGTGCAAGTTGTATTAAATTTTAATTATTCAAAGTTCTTAAATCTAAGGGACACAAATTTATGTCAAATTTTGTATAAAAAAAGAAGGGGTTGTCAAACCGTCCTTTATGTATATATGTAAGATGTCCACTTATCTAAAACTAATTTATTTTAATGCATGCATGATACTCAAGTGTTAAGATTATATCTAAGATTGTAATTGGTGGTTCATAAAAGAGAAAATGTGTGTTACCCACACTTGAATATTAATCCACTTGATAATAGGAGATATAGGTTTAGAATATAATAAGGTATGATAGCTACAAGTTTTTCTTTGAGAAGTAAAAAATTCAATATTGTAATAGCAGTTTTTGGTCAAGTTATAAAGTCTATATATATACTTTTAAATTTATCACTTTAATTATTGCAATGATATACTATTAATTTATGAAATTTGATCCTATTGGTTTAGTGGCACCAAAGAATTACTTGTAGAAGGCTTTACTCTTGTAAGTGTTTTTGAACGCCATTTGATTAAATCCCAATTTAAGCCTTTTGGGTTGCGACCCAAATCACCCACAAGAACTCATATGCAGCCCAAAATAACAATTTTTTTGCAGAGAAATAACCCAGGAGTTTCAAAAGTCATGAGTTGTATTGTTCGTGTTCTGAATTTGGCGTTGAATGTTTTAGAAGATTTGGAATAATGAACTTGTTTTTAGGGTACTATAATTTAATTTTTTTTACACTTATGGTGAACTGTTTATCTTTATCCATCTAACAATAATAAAAGATATTGAATTGACATTAAATATATAACCATTTTAAACCTTTATCTTTGGATAAAAAAAGACGAATGACTCATAAGAGTCAAAAATTTAAATCATAGCATTCCAACTCAGGATGACAGTATTTATTTTTTGCATTTTCTCATTATTGTAAAATATAGGGATCCAACAGTTTGTTAATGGAAGTTGTGAAATTAGCTATAGTTATGGAATGGAGGCTTTTTTAGTTTTCAAGTTTTATATCTTAAATGTTTAATTAAAATTAAATGGAAAGTGGTTAACTAGTGTGTAAAAAATTAAGTCAATAATTTAAGTTACAATATCCTGACCCACATATTTATTTATTTATTTGTAAGATCAATGAACAATATAGGGTATAAATATAATTTCCTAGCGAGTGGGTTTACAACAAAAACCTCACTATAGTTATAGTAATTACTAAAATCTTACTACCATAAAGTTTTTAGTGTTAAAATAAAAAATAAAGGGGTAATTAGGTAAATATTCATACACTCATCAGACACTAAATTCTAACGATACACTAACGGTAGGGGATTTATGTTATTTCTGAAATCTCAAGGCAAGTTTGTTATTCTATTAAACCTCAAAGGGTCAAGGGAAAAACCTTTTGAAATATGATATGTTCTTTAACCTTAGGGGCGTTTGGTTTCGAGAATGTTTTATTATTGAAAAGATAGGATTATTATTAAAATATATTACCTTAAGATTACTAAGGGGGAGTTTGGATCATATAATGTTTTTTTATTTTAGTAATAAGATTACCGGAAAAAAATATTACATTGTAGATTACCGGGTTTACATTATTATTGTGCTTGGTTCAATTAAGATGTATTAATAATTAATGTGCTTGGTTGACAGTAATAACGTATGTCCTTAAATACCCTTTTATTATAATGCCCTTGGGATGATTATTTGTATTACTAATAAATCTGTTTGGTTGGCTGTAACAGCAGATGTCTTGATTACATTTTACTAAAATACCCTTTAGATAATTACTGCGTATAAATAATTAACGTGTTTGGTTAATAAAAGAAATGATCAATTAACAAAATTCTTTTTCTAGTATTTTAGCCAAGTATTTTATTGTTAAGTCATTTATTGACAAATTTACATACACTATTGAAACTCCGAAAAAAACCTATTGTATTTTCTATGGGGTATACATTTAACACCTGACCCTGGTATTGCAACAAATATAGTTGCCATCTCCCAATTTAAAACTCTATCTAAAACTTTGTTTTTTTGTATTACCACAAAGGGTCGAGGGAATATGTTCTTTAACCTTAGGGGCGTTTGGTTTCGAGAATGTTTTATTACTGAAAAGATAAGATTACTATTGAGATAGATTACCTTAAGATTACTGAATGTTATATTATATATATTTGGTTAGATTGGAATGAATTGGTGGATATAAATAATTAATATGTTTGGTTGAAGGAAACCTTTTACTGAATTGCCCTTCTTTTTTAATAATTATTAAAATAATAATAATAATATTTTATTATTTAGATTATTTTTTAACCCCTTACATTTTGAGAGTTTAGCTAAAACACCCAAGCCAGAATAAAAGTTTAAAATTTTACAAAATACCCTCAACCACCCAAGACGGCTATCGATCGTCGACCACCCAAGACAATAGTCGCCAGAATGGTGCACAATCGATCGGATTTGGCTGGCCGTGCGCCGATCTAGCCATTTCTTTCTGACTAGATCCATGGATCTGGTCGTCATTTTTGGTAAGATCAAATGGCCAGATCGATGCACGGCCAGCCAGACCCGACCGGTCATGCATTGTTCTGACGATTGCCGATGACCAACAATCGGCTTGGGTGGCTAGGGTATTTTTGGTGGTATTCATGTAAATAGTTTTCAGAATAAGGGCATTATTGTCCAAAAAATTAATTACTTATGGGTAAAATAGTAACAAAATTAAGATTAATTTATGTAAATGAGAGACAATGTTGTCCAAAAAAATTAATTTATGAGGTTACATTAGTCATTTTGCACAATTGGGTTAATTGTTATTTGATAGACATAAGAAAGTATTTGTGCTTGAAATGTTAATTAATTAAGGGTAAAATGGGAATAAAGATTGGACCACCTCAGTAATATTAAAATACCATTGTTTCAAACAGTAGTCAAATTACCCTAAAAATTGTTAACAATAATTGTTATTATTATTTGAAGACTATCGAAATCTTTTATTACTTAATAACCAAATAAAATAATGTTTGGATTAAAAGATAGATTATTGAAGTAATCTTTCATTATCGTAAACCAAACGCCCCATAAAAGTAAGGGTAATTTTGTATTTTTCCTAAAAAAGTCGACTTTGCCAATAATAGTAATTACAAGTGTTAGCATTTAGGGGTAGCTTGTGATAACCTTCTACAAACATAGGGGTAAAATAAAAATACTTAGTAAATAATTTCATACAATTAAAGATTCCATTAATCAATAAAATAAGTGTTATCAGTTTTCAAAACCATATAGTAGTATCATTATACTGATTATTAATGAAGGATAGACTATAGTTTTCTATAATATTATTAGTATTAGATGGTAAGATTATCTCGTATATTTTAATTAATCACATGAAATATACTCTTTTGACAATAAATTTTAACCATTAAATGTTAAGTTAGTTTGATTAAACATATTGAAACCTAATCTTGCCTATATTATTATCAAATATTTCATATAATTTGAATAAAAAACGAGTACTCTTTAACTTCTTAAGCAAAGATGTTGGGTGGAAATCCCAACAATAATACAACTAAATGCAAATATCTTCTAGAGTGTTCTAAAATAGGACAAATAACTCAAATCCAACGGTCAAGATTAACTAGAAGTTTCAAGACCGTTTGCTTCATTATGATATTGATATCCCCTTTAAAAACCTAAAAACTCTTATTTCTAACCCACCCACCTGCTTCAACTCTGCTCTGTACTTCTCCTTATCCTTTAAACCCTAAAGCTATCAACTTCCCAATCCACCGCTGTTTCATTGTAAGTTCATTCACACCCTCTAATCCCTTTTCGTTTTTCTTTGTGTTATGCTTGTTTTCATGTTGAAAATGGAAGATGGGTGTTGTTGTCGATGTTGTTGTTATATGTGTTCAAAGTTTTCTTTTTCTGTTATGAAATATTGTTTCTTTAAGCTTTTCAAATGATTGTGAGGTGTTTATTGCAAATGGGTTGCTTTTTTTTTTTTTGGTTGGTTTTTTTGTGGATAATTGAGACAATTATGATATTGGTTTGTCTAGCCGAAGTGGGATTGATCAATTTGTGTGCTCTAAGAAAATTAGCTTTGTTTTGTTGGTTAATTTGTGTCGTGTTAGTGGAAATGAATATGCTTTGATTGTTTTAATGTAATTTGATGGATGAAATGGGATTGTGGACTTCTTGGGAAGCAAATATTGTAAGTTCTGTGGTGGTTTCACTTACAAAATGCGGTTCCCTTTTGTGGATAAAATTATGATATTGGTTTGTTTAGCTGAAGTGGGATTGCTCAATTTGAGTGCTTAGACAGAATTATCTTTGTTTTGTTGTTTAATCTGGGTTGTGTTAGTGGAAATTAATATATTTTGATTGCATTAATGTAATTCGATTGATGAAATGATATTTTGGACCTCTTGGGAAGCAAATATTGTATGTTCTGTGGTGGTGGTTTCAGTTGCAAAGTGGGGTTTCTAACTGTCTTTGGGGTTTTCGGATTATTGAACAAAAAAATGAGATTGTGGATGCAATTTTATTTGTGATATGTCTGTGGAATAGAATCTCGCTTTGGTGTTTGTTTTTGGAATTGTAGTGATTTTTTTTATCATGAGGATGGGTTATCTTTGGACTGGCTGAGCTAAGCTTACTATGAATGTTGCCAGCACTAAACATATAATGGCGTCAACTTTCGCTGCCATGTCTCCAATTGGCTCTATGGTTGCTCCTAATGGCCGCGTGACTGATAAGAAACTTGCATCTTCTTCCAATAAGTTGTCATCATTCGCATCCATTTCTTCGAGCTCTTTCGGTAGAAGACAGAGTGTTGCTCTACGTAGGGCACACTCTCCTAAGATTTATGCTGCAAAGGATTTACATTTCAACAAGGATGGAGTGGCCATTAAGAAACTACAAGTAAGTCTTTGCGTGAAGACTCCGATTATTCAGTGAGTATGTTGCATTGCAGCTTTTGTTGGTAGTTGAGGTCTTACTATCTTTTATTCTTTTATTGTAGACTGGTGTGAACAAGCTTGCAGATCTTGTTGGGGTTACCCTTGGTCCCAAAGGCAGGAATGTTGTTCTAGAGAGCAAGTATGGTGCTCCAAAAATTGTCAATGATGGTGTGACTGTGGCCAAAGAGGTTTGCCTTTTCTCTTATTTTTTATTATCTTTTTAGTCTATGAAGCTGAAAGCTGATAGTGGATTTATAGTTTACAACTGCTTCAAAATTGGATGACACTTTTCATTTGCTTTAAAACCTTTTTCATAGACTGGATTTTTAGCTTCAATTCTCTTAAGTTTTGACGAAATGTCAATCCTTTTGAATTATTTTAAATATTTCTATCTTCATTTTTCTACATTATTCGTGAACTAATCTTGTGTGAGATAATGAATGGGTTGTTCTTCCATTATTTTTCAGGTTGAGTTGGAGGACCCTGTTGAGAACATTGGTGCTAAGTTGGTGAGACAGGCGGCTGCCAAGACCAATGACTTGGCTGGAGATGGGACCACCACATCTGTTGTTCTTGCACAAGGTCTTATTGCTGAAGGTGTCAAGGTTTGTAGAGCATACCGGTTGTGAATGTTTTGCTGGACAGTTAAACAGCACTATAATCTCAGCCATTGTTGTGCCATCTGTCTAAATTGCTTTCAATTATGCAGGTGGTGGCAGCTGGAGCTAACCCTGTTTTAATCACAAGAGGCATTGAGAAGACAACCAAGGCTTTAGTTTCGGAGCTCAAGTCAATGTCAAAAGAGGTAATCAAAATGGAACTTAACAGTCTTTACAAGTTCTAAACTCTAATATTCCTTGTTCATCTAACAAAGTTTATGTATAGAGGCTCAAGGTTAATTGTGTGGGTTTTCAGGTTGAAGACAGTGAACTTGCAGATGTAGCAGCAGTTAGCGCTGGTAACAACTACGAAGTAGGTAATATGATAGCTGAAGCCATGAGTAAAGTGGGTCGGAAGGGTGTTGTGACTCTTGAAGAGGGTAAAAGTGCTGAGAACACCCTCTATGTTGTTGAGGGAATGCAATTTGATCGTGGTTATATCTCTCCTTATTTTGTCACTGATAGTGAGAAAATGGCAGTTGAATTTGAGAACTGCAAGGTATGCATTATGTTTACAACTTTATAGTTATCCTTTATTTTATTTTTTGGTTTGTTTTATTCTGAAATTGACATTTTCATTGTTTCTTAATTGCAGTTGCTTCTTGTTGATAAGAAAATAACAAATGCAAGGGATCTTATCAACATTTTGGAAGATGCAATTAGGAGTGGACACCCAATTGTGATAATTGCAGAAGACATTGAGCAAGAAGCTTTAGCAACACTTGTTGTGAACAAGCTGAGAGGGGCATTGAAGATTGCTGCTCTCAAGGCTCCTGGATTTGGTGAGCGCAAGAGCCAGTACCTCGATGATATTGCTATTCTGACCGGAGGTAAATGCGGATATTTATTCACTTTTTGTATTATTATTGGTTTTTTGGCTTATAGCTGACTCTCTTGTCTATTGTTTCTGATTTTTACTATGCTATTATCGAACTTTGTTGACTTAATATGAGCATTCAATCAAAAGCATTCTTCCTGCTTTATCTAGTTGTTGGTGCTGAGAGGCCTCTTCTATTGTTGTGCAGGAACTGTAATCAGGGATGAGGTCGGACTTGCCTTGGACAAAGTTGGCAAGGAAGTGCTGGGTAATGCTTCTAAAGTGGTGCTTACAAAGGACAGTACCACCATTGTGGGTGATGGGAGCACCCAAGATGCAGTAAACAAACGAGTTGCACAAATTAAAACTCTTATTGAGGTGAGACTCTCTCTCTCTCTCTCCCTCCACACCCGCCCCCCGGCGCATGGAGATGTGTGTCACACAGGCTTAGTTTGTTTATGTGGTTTATTTTCTTAGTATTTTATCTTTTTGTTGTAAACTTTTCATGCTAAATTGAAGTTTCATCATGCAGAATGCTGAGCAAGACTATGAAAGGGAGAAACTTAATGAAAGAATTGCAAAACTATCTGGTGGTGTTGCTGTTATTCAGGTAAATTTTCAATTACTATAAGAAAAAGTGTGATATATGATATCATCTTCAGTATATATCATGTATTGATGTCTTCTTGATCTCTCAAGGTTGGCGCACAAACTGAAACTGAGCTCAAAGAAAAGAAACTGAGAGTTGAAGATGCACTTAATGCAACAAAGGTAATATATCACATTTTTCTATGGTGATTGTTATGTTTACAAGTGANGCCCCCCGGCGCATGGAGATGTGTGTCACACAGGCTTAGTTTGTTTATGTGGTTTATTTTCTTAGTATTTTATCTTTTTGTTGTAAACTTTTCATGCTAAATTGAAGTTTCATCATGCAGAATGCTGAGCAAGACTATGAAAGGGAGAAACTTAATGAAAGAATTGCAAAACTATCTGGTGGTGTTGCTGTTATTCAGGTAAATTTTCAATTACTAAAAGAAGAAGTGTGATATATGATATCATCTTCTGTATATATCATGTATTGATGTCTTCTTGATCTCTCAAGGTTGGCGCACAAACTGAAACTGAGCTCAAAGAAAAGAAACTGAGAGTTGAAGATGCACTTAATGCAACAAAGGTAATATATCACATTTTTCTATGGTGATTGTTATGTTTACAAGTGATGAGTGTTAAATATAAAAGTTCTTATGATTTTCAGGCAGCTGTTGAGGAAGGTATTGTAGTTGGTGGTGGATGCACACTTTTGAGACTATCATCAAAAGTAGATGCCATTAAGGAGAGCCTGGGTAATGACGAAGAAAAGGTAATACGGTATTTCTGGTTTCATCTTTAAACACTTTCAGCATTACAAAGACTCAACTTTAAGGTTGAATATATATTGGACCTTTGACTGGTAGAATTTAAGTTGCATCCTGGCAGTTTTTAAAAGTTTTGAATGTGTTGAGGTTTTGTTGAAATGAATTGAATGGTGGTTATGATATGAATTGCAGGTTGGGGCCGAAATTGTGAAGAGAGCTCTGAGTTACCCTCTGAAATTAATTGCCAAAAATGCCGGTGTTAATGGGAGTGTAGTCAGTGAGAAGGTATAAAAACTCTTATTAACTTGTGAGGTCTACTATTGTTTTGACTTTCTTTCAATTTTTGTTTCTAATGAGAAATTTGTGTTTCAATTCACAGGTGCTCTCTAGTGACAACCACAAATATGGATACAATGCTGCAACTGGAAACTATGAAGATTTGATGGCTGCAGGAATTATTGATCCAACCAAGGTTAGTTGCTATACGGAATTCGGAGTGTTAAGAATTAGTAATTCTGTACACACCTTTCCTATAGTATTTCACCATGAGGTTCGACGCAATTACTAAAATATATTAACTTTCCTCGATTCAGGTGGTCAGGTGTTGCCTGGAGCATGCTTCCTCAGTTGCCAAAACTTTCTTGATGTCCGACTGTGTGGTGGTTGAGATCAAGGAGCCTGAATCCGCCGTTCCTGCTGGGAACCCAATGGACAATTCAGGTTTGTAGTGGGTGAAGTTGAAGTTTACCAAATTCATTTCTGCTTTATTCTTCCATGCGTATTGCCCTGGAACCCATGAGTTTGGTTACTAACTTTACTGTATTTTCACTTTATTGCGGCAGGATACGGTTACTAAGATAATTAAGCAAGATAAAAAGAAGAGAGCAAATAAGGTCCATACTTCATGGTAGCAACAAGTGCCAGTGAGCTCCTTATTGTTTTGTAAATTTTAACAATTTAGTATCACTAGAATTCATGGATTTTGACGAGGATAGCTTGCTAGGGAACCGGCTTGCAATTTAATGTACACTCGCAATGATTTTAAACTTTTTTGAGTGAAAAGACAATTTATCTTTCTTATCTCATTAGATCTCATTCTTGTTATTGAATTGAATATTGATGTCTAATTTACACTGCCTTGAAGCTTAATCTTCTTTTCAAGACAATTATCTTACTAACTTGCCCACTTTCTGTTTTGCTTTTCAATGTTTTGTTATATATGCAAGATGATCTAATTAAGGTACAAGGGTGGCTAACATTACCCCCTCCCCATTGCAGCCCTTGGATAAAGGGCGGGCAACCCTTCGACCTTAGTCTAAGGGTTATGACCAGAAGGGGCTCCAATTCTTTTGTACGGCTCATCCCTTGGATCAAGGTCATTGATTTGATATAAGGGTCGTGGCCACAAGGGTAACATTACCCTGCGATAAGGGTAATGTTATCTTAAGTTATGGATAAGGTTGTCGATCTTAGTCCAGGAGGGGTAACGGTGCGGCTGTTGGGTCAAGGTTGCCAATCTTGATCTAAAGGCACAAGGGGAAAAGTTATCCCTCCAAATAAAGGGGTAATGTTATCCTAACTTATCGATTTCCTTTTCTCTTAAATTCTTGTACCATGTGCTTACCCAAAAGAAATGGTAAATGGGAACTTTTCAGATTCATGAATGATCAAAAGTATGGTCTTGAAAATGAGTATTATGTTGAATTTTAATTCGAGTCATGATAGGTGAGAGGGCATGCTCTAGCAATGGATATTGTTCATTTGTATGTTCATGATTGTTGTCTAGCATCTATGAGTGGCAACCATTTTGGGACCATTGGGTTTCTTTTTGAGCAAGTTTTGAATGGAATGAGCAGCCTAACATTATCAATATGTTTGCTCTAATTTGTTATGAATGTTCATTGATGATATGGTGGTGGTGATTACACAAATAACAATAAAACGTAGGCCACTCTATATGATAAAAGTTTTATAGCACTTTATGTGAAGTTGCAGTTTCTTTGATAATGAATTGCAATATTGCATTAGTTGATGGGATATAACACAATAACTGAATTGATTTAATGAATTATAAGTTATTAAATTTTCAATGATCATAATTATCATTGTTTTAAAAATCGGACCGGAAGGCAAACTGTTTTGATGGTCAGGTCACGGTTTAACCGGTTAGAATGCTGATTAAACTGGTGATATTATCACACATCATGATGATGTTAGCACATTTTAAAAAAAAAAAAAATTTTTTTTTAGATTTCTATTTTTCAATAAGACAATAACAACTTAATTACTGTCCAACATGATTCAAAGTTCAAATTCAACAACAATCTTAACATAATTTAAGTATTTAATAATAATTCAAAGTTCAAATCCAAACATTATGTTGTATTTACATATCAAATGACAAAATACATAACAATTAATAACAAAACATTTGATGCAAGTGTTTTTTCTTTGATCCGTCTCTATGTTGATTGAGCTTCACACATTAGCATCAAAATTCATCATAACCAGCACCACCATCTACATAAATTTCAGTAAAAAATAGAAATCATAAGTTAAAACTTGTAATTTAATTTAAATAGATACTGAGTTGTTTAAATAATTGAAACCAACCTTCTGAACCATCGGTTGAATCATAAAAAGAAGGATGATTAGCAACTCCAGTAGGAATAGATCCTTCTCCATATAACATTTGTTCCAACTCCTCATAATTAAGTTCACTGACCTCCTTCTCCTCTTCATCGTCAACTATCCAACCTTCAGTTTTGTCGATACTTTCATAATCAATAGGATCCAAACTTATTCTCTTGTAACACTTCCTAAAATATCATCTTTTCCAGCTAAACAACTCCTGGTTTGTTTTTTTGTGGATAATTGAGACAATTATGATATTGGTTTGTCTAGCCAAGTGGGATTGATCAATTTGAGTGCTCTAAGAAAATTAGCTTTGTTTTGTTGGTTAATTTGTGTCGTGTTAGTGGAATGAATAGGCTTTGATTTTTTAATGTAATTTGATGGATGAAATGGGATTGTGTGACTTCTTGGGAAGCAAATTTGTAAGTTCTGTGGTGGTTTCACTTACAAAATGCGGTTCCCTTTTGTGGATAAAATTATGATATTGGTTTGTTTAGCTGAAGTGGGATTGCTCATTTGGTCTTAGACAGAATTATCTTTGTTTTGTTGTTTAATCTGGGTTGTGTTAGTGGAATTTAATATATTTGATTGCATAAATGTAATTCGATTGATGAAATGATATTTGGACCTCTTGGGAGGCATAATTGTATTTCTGGTGGTGGTTTCAGTTGCAAAGTGGGGTTCTAACTGTCTTTGGGGTTTTTCGGATTATTGAACAAAAAAATGAGATTGTGGTGCTTTATTTGTGATATGTCTGTGGAATAGAATCTCGCTTGGTGTTTGTTTTTGGAATTGTAGTGATTTTTTTTATCATGAGGATGGGTTATCTTTGGACGGGCTGAGCTAAGCTTACTATGAATGTTGCCAGCATTAAACATATAATGGCTTCAACTTTCGCTGCCATGTCTCCATTTGGCTCTATGGTTGCTCCTAATGCCGCGTGACTGATAAGAAACTTGCATCTTCTTCCAATAAGTGTCATCATTCGCATCCATTTCTTCGAGCTCTTTCGTAGAAGACAGAGTGTTGCTCTACGTAGGGCACACTCTCCTAAGATTTATGCTGCCAAGATTACATTTCAACAAGGATGGAGTGGCCATTAAGAAACTACAAGTAATTCTTGCGTGAAGACTCCGATTATTCAGTGAGTATGTTGCATTGCAGCTTTCGTTGGTAGTTGAGGTCTACTATCTTTTATTCTTTATTGTAGACTGTGTGAACAAACTTCAGATTCTGTTGGGGTTACCCTTGGTCCCAAAGCAGGAATGTTGTTCTAGAAGCATATGTTGCTCCAAAAATTGTCAATGATGGTGTGACTGTGGCCAAAGAGGTTTGCCTTTTCTCTTATTTTTTTATTATCTTTTAGTCTATGACCTGAACTGAAGTGGATTTAAGTTTACAACTGCTTCAAAATTGGATGACACTTTTCATTTGCTTTAATACCTTTTTCATAGCCTGGATTTTTAGCTTCAATTCTCTTAATTTTTGACGAAATGTCAATCCTTTTGAATTATTTTAAATATTTCTATCTTCATTTTTCTACATTATCGTGAACTAATCATGTTGGATAATGAATGGTGTTCTTTCCATTATTTCTCAGGTTGAGTTGGAGGACCCTGTTGAGAACATTGGTGCTAAGTTGGTGAGACAAGCGGCTGCCAAGACCAATGACTTGGCTGGAGGGGACCACCACATCTGTTGTTCTTGCACAAGGTCTTATTGCTGAAGGTGTCAAGGTTTGTAGAGCATACCGGTTGTGAATGTTTTGCTGGACAGTTAAACGCACTATAATCTCAGCCATTGTTGTGCCATCTGTCTAAATTGCTTTCAATTTGCAGGTGTGGCAGGCTGGAGCTACCCTGTTTTAATCACAAGAGGCATTGAGAAGACAACCAAGGCTTTAGTTTCGGAGCTCAAGTCCAATGTCAAAGAGGTAATCAAAATGGAACTTAACATCTTACAAGTTCTAAACTCTAATATTCCTTGTTCATTACAAAGTTTATGTATAGAGGCTCAAGGTTAATTGTGTGGGTTTTCAGTTGAGAACAGTGAACTTGCAGATGTAGCAGCAGTTAGCGCTGGTAACAACTACGAAGTAGGTAATATGATAGCTGAAGCCATGAGTAAAGTGGGTCGAAGGGTGTTGTGACTCTTAAAGGGTAAAAGTGCTGAAACACCCCTCTATTTTGTTGAGGAATGCAATTTGATCGTGGTTATATCTCCTTATTTTGTCACTGATAGTGAGAAAATGGCAGTTGAATTTGAGAACTGCAAGGTATGCATTAGTTACAACTTTATAGTTATCCTTTATTTTTTTTTTTGGTTTGTTTTATTCTAAATTGACATTTTCATTGTTTCTTAATTGCAGTTGCTTCTTGTTGATAAGAAATAACAATCGAGGGATCTTATCAACATTTGGAAGATGCAATTAGGAGTGGACACCCTATTGTGATAATTGCAGAAGACATTGACAAGAAGCTTTAGCAACACTTGTTGTGAACAGCTGAGAGGGCATTGAAGATTGCTGCTCTCAAGGCCCTGGATTTGTGAGCGCAAGACCAGTACCTCGATGATATGCTACTCTGACCGGAGGTAAATGCGATATTTATTCACTTTTTGTATATTTTGGTTTTTTGGCTTAAGCTGACTCTCTTGTCTATTGTTTCTGATTTTTACTATGCTATTATCGAACTTTGTTGACTTTAAATGAGCATTCAATCAAAAGCATTCTTCCTGCTTTATCTACGTTGTTGGTGCTGAGAGGCCTCTTCTATTGTTGTGCAGGAACTGTAATCAGGGATGAGGTCGACTTGCCTTGGACAAAGTTGGAAGAAGTGCTGGTATGCTTCTAAAGTGGGTGCTTACAAAGGACGTACCACCATGTGGGTGATGGGACACCCAAGATGCAGTAAACAAACAGTTGCACAAATTAAACTCTTATTGAGGTGGACTCTCCTCTCTCTCATCTCCCTCCACACCCGCCCCCGGCGCATGGATGATGTGTGTCCACAGGCTTAGTTTGTTTATGTGGTTTATTTTCTTAGTATTTTATCTTTTTGTTGTAAACTTTTCATGCTAAATTGAAGTTTCATCA